AACTCGTTGTTTATGATGCTGCAGAAGGCAGCACGACCCGTGCAGCCTGTGTGTGTGTGTGTGCGTATGTTTTTGCTGGGGGACCTATTTCCTGCAGGTGCACACAGCCCAGCGGTGGTGAGAATCATTGTTCCTTATGGGGACAAAAAGCCCGGTCCCAGTTTGGAAACATACTGTTGTTGGGTCAGGTTGTAGAAATGACCGGTGAATGAATGGAAGTCAATGCAAAGTCCCCATGAGAGTAAAGAACAAACCTGTGTGTGTGTGTGTGTGTGTTGCACCGCTCCGCTGTGTGACACAGCCTGAGAGATGGGACGAGAAGGGAGTGGGGAGAGGGCTACCCGTGCTGCTGCTCTGTGGGAGCGTCAGCGAACTAACAGAACGGTAATCATAAGTTTTGATCAGATTTTTTCTCATCCTATCAGGGAAAGTGGGGGGGACAGATCAGGGTCACTATAAATCTGGGGGGGACATGTCCCCCCCGTCCCCCGTACTAACTGCGCCCATGTGGTCCTCCATAGAAACACCCAGCAGTTAAAGTCATTATGTAAATAAAGATCTGTTCCCTGTGAAATAGTCACTCAACTAACCTATGTAATAAAAGTAGTGATAATAAAACAACAAAAACAGAAAGAACACATTCTGCCTCCTCTTTATCACAAATATTATTTTAACGTCTCTGACTTGCCAGATATTTAAACTAATTTTATTTTCACTTTCATAGTTTTATCTTCAACTGCTTGGAGTTTATCTGTCTTGAGTGTTTATAGAAATGGTTTTACCAGCTTCTAGCCAAGATTCTGATGTTTCTGTAGATTAAACGTCTATAGCTTGTTTCCATTACAAAGGTTTTTTGATATTCTGTTAATGTTGAAAAACAGTTTCACAACTGCAGTGTTTCCATTAAGTAATAAATGTTATTAAAGTCAGACGTGAATACGTTTGTTCTCATGATAAGTCATTACAAACATGGCAGCGATGGATGTAAACACATAGCATGTTGCTACCACGACACTAGCGCTCATCATCAG